TTCGAACCATGGACCTTCTAGTCGGTACGCTCATGCCTTAACAACTGAGCTATATCGAGTCAGCCTGACCTTGATATAGTATCAAGATATTTGAGACCTTCTAACGCGTCACCATACGGACTTCATTGAGACATGGAATGAAAAATACCACACGACGCCATCCTCTGGGTTTGACACCTTACCCTAACGTACACACTTCATACTTTAAGACCGACCAGCCGGACAAATAGTCCGTGTTTTATTCCACTCACCCTGTTAATCAGATGTCATGAAACGAAATACAAAGACACTATTCATAGGTTCTTCCCCTAGAATAGACTTCGGTTGTGACCTTCAACCGAACATCCTTCAGACCTTCTAGACTCTTCTTATTGTGGAATTAAAGTTGGTTGCTTCCGTTTTTTCTTACAGACTTCATGTCTTTATCGGTTAATTGTACCCATCTATACTACTATTATAGAAGGAATCTTGCCCTTTGCTGACTCATACTCATTCGGATGAGTGAAACAACCGGGGAACTCGATTTCACTCATTTGCTTATAATTTTGAATGTATATACTGTACGCGAATGTATGTTGGAACTTTGACCTATAAAGCCTGATGATCTACATAGATGAGTTCACTGATTTTGGCTCTTCATCAGAGAGTTATTGATTGCCATCAGTGTGCACAAACGGCGATTCGTCAAAGTGAATATGTGCTGCCGATATATCATTTTGCTGGCGCCATATTTAGAGTTGCTTTGCAGTTGTAGTTGATGTCTCTCTTTGCAATGCAGATAATTGTGCTCTGGATGAGTAGGCTGTTTGATTTCATCAGTAATATCAGGTGAACTGTTCTCCCATCTTCTCTTGATGGACTTATCAAAAAGCCTCAGAGTCACTTATTGGGAAAACCGGAGTATACTCAGTGAGCAGTTGCCCGGTTCTGCGGCTTTTTCAGACATCTCTGCGTAGGAAAATACGTGTCTAGGAGATTACAAGAGGGGAATTGGCAGACAAGGGTTTGTGCTAACGTACTCAATGTACGAATCAACTCAGCCGAAAGGTCTTCATTTCCGTATTTGCTTGGTGTCGGATTGGCACTGAAAGAGTTAGTAACGTCAGAATAATAACGCCGGAATAATAATAATAACGTTAATAACGTCAGAATACTGGGCCAGACAAGAACAAAGAAAGAACGCGAGTTCATGGAGGCGTGGTACTCCACTGGTGGAGCAATAAACAGGCACATTGAGATTGATCCTGCCTACCAGCCTCTGAGGACAAAGGAAATCCAGAACCACAGAACCCGAGGCCGGACAAGGACTCAAAGAAGAAATCAATAGAACAGCAGGCTACTAAAAATAGGAGGCACGCCACAAACCAACAGAGAAGCCGACCACGACGCAATACAGATCAAGAACGGGCCAATCAGAATCCAGGTTACAGCGCAAAGGCTGCTCTTTGTAGACTATATAAACGCAGGCACGAAGAGAGGAACTACCCAACCAATAGCGCACTGAAGATGTCTCCTCGAAGGGTGACGAAACGTTTGCAAATCAATTGCCATTCTCGGCGAACAGATCAACAGCCACCTGATCGATTACCAACCAGAGTCCGAACTCCCAAATCCGCCACCCTATACTGCAAAAGTCTGTCAAACATTTCATTCCTTCTGATGTGACCAGTCAAGGCACCCCACTTATTCTGACGTTTCTGAAGGTTCATGGATTCATCCTTCCATTCTATTGATTTTACTTCCTTCACACTTTTACTGCTTGTAAACAGTTGTGTTGTGATGTGAAATATCTCAGATACTAGAGGCTCGGAGGCGGTGGTTGGTCTGTTTTGCACTATTCTGTATTGACGGAACACTTGTTTTCTTTTGAACTGCTAACTTGCCATTGAAAACCGTATATCTGTCATCGGCGATTCCATTTCCTTGACTCCTTTGAGCAAATTCAAGACGGTGCTGACTTTTCGTTTCATTGATGTCTCTATTCCGTACCTCAAAAGCTGACTGTGAATCGGTTGGCTTCAAAGCGTTGAGGATGTCAGTAATCAGGCTTTTCAAATTTGGGAGAAGGCTGATTAATAATCAGGTTTGTCCTCAGAAACAAAACTTAAAATTAGCGAATATACACTCAGTTGCAAACTAATTTGGTTTTTTCGAGAGACTCATCTGGAACCCAGCTGAATCTCTCGTTTATGATGTTCTCACGCAACTGAGTGTGCTGCACCAGGCCGCCTCATGTTTCAGTCGCTACG